AACAATACTGGAAAATCCCATCGGAAATTAATTCATTTCAAAAGTTTACCCTGCGTTTCCTTTTCCTTTCAGTATACATTCCAATAATTTCAAGTTGTTTGAATCAATATTCTGTCTCTGACGTCGTTTCAACCATATTGAAACATAACTGTGTCGCCTGCAAGAGCAGAGCGACACTTAGGGATCACTTTACCTATACTGACTTGGATTTTCAAACCAAATATTTTGGTATACAATACGTATATAAGTAGTAGGACCATTCATTTTGATAAAAACGTCATTTTCCCTGAACTTTATGAATAGTTGTCGTATATGTACTTTTTAATTATTTTTGAAATATATTGATACATCTATTCGCAGAACTATTATAAATATAAATTAGTCTTTGATAAAATACAAAAATCGGACATATTGTTCTTACCATCTTGGTTCAGAACCTACAAGCATGAGAACTCGAAGGGCAAGACGTTTATGGATGTCCCAGTGTTCAATAGCGGTTGCCACAATTAGACCTCCAATGAAGAGAGTGGACGTATCCTATAAAGGAATGACAAAATGAGAACTCAGGTTTGTACATATATATTATACAGGTATAACTCTTAAAGTGTGTACAATTGTATTGAGGTGAACTATGATACCCTAACACTTGATTGATCAAAAGTATAATAATTGTTTTCTTATATTAAAAGTTTATTTTTGACTGACATGTAATAAATGATATGTGACAACAACATTACTACAAAGGAAATATTTATGAATTATCAATTTGAACTTTAATGTATTAGTAAAAGCGCCCCTTGATTTGTTTTAAAAGACACATGCATTTATGCCCTATTAATTTCTGAAACATACGTTGAGGTATGCGCTTGATACATCTTTAGCATACAAAAGTCCAACCATAGGAAATAGTATTAGGGGTAGTAATGACGTCACGGCTATTGGCAGGGCCTCTGTTATCCAAAATACCGCCATGATGATAATGACATATGCACATTTTGCCTCCTGTAAAAACAACCCCAGAAAGCTCTATATTTTGTCTTTAATATATTTTAATGAAATTCTAATATACCAAATAATTCTTCAAGTAAACTTATAGTTTATCATCAAGCTACTTTAATTCGATGGAATGAAAATGTCAAGAATTTTAAGCGTATTTTAGAAATTATTTTTATATACTAGTACGACTAAAGATTTTTCTCGATTAAGATTTCATGTTGTTACTTCATCCGTCCACTGTTTTGTGAAAAATGCCATTATTGTACATGTATATAACATTTTACCTTATTTTTACACAGTTTTGAAAGTTATCTGTTCATATACATTGGGAAAAAAATCCTACATCGCATCTTTAACGCTAACAATAACATGTGAACACTATTTTCGAATTACATTATAGTTTCAAATAGCTTAAATAACTTATTATCAAAAGATATAATGTATTGAGAAAATATATCAACATACTTATGTCTTAACATGCCAGTCAAAGATGTTACAGTAGTACTTACGTTTCCGTCCACAACAAGTATAAGCGGCAATAAAACGATCGGAGTTAAAACGACAATGAATATATTCCTTGCAAACTTCAGCAATCTAACAACTGTATGCACTACAGACGACATGGCAACAGTTTTCATCAAGGAATGTATAAATTTAAGTTAATTGTAAACACGCCTTGCCGAGATTCTTGTTGCACAGTATTGTGATGCAAGCAATCCTTGTGATAAGAGAAAAAATAGAGCTAAGCATTCTAAAGCAGGTCAACATTGAAAAACTCTCACAGAGATGTTTGGACCATGAAAGTGAGTAATAAAATCGCATGAATAGGAATTCATCGTTAAGCCAGGGTAATGATTAAGTCATTCGGTAGTTGCCTATTTTACACTCTTTTGTTATTGCTAATTTTTGCAAAGGTCACTTAACATGTAAATGTAGACTTCAAACCATTTGAGTTTTTTTAGACATCAATTTCGAGTAAATGTAATATATAATAAGTAGATGTATAATGTAGCATATTCTATTTAGTGGTGCTATTACAGTCAGGATTTGCCCTCTGATATTTAATTTGACGAATACGTAACCAAAGTGAAATCGTTATTAATGTGGAATAAGGAAATGTAGTAAGTATGATGACTGAAACTATTGCTATTACTCCAATGCCATGCACAGTAGATTTCACATTCTAAATGAAAAAAATATTGGGAAAATCATGCCAAAACAGTCGTCTTAGCGACTTCCTGTGAAAATGCACTTTCGAATTTTTTTCTGGGTCGTGATTTTGAACCAGTCATATTTCAGAGGCTAATATTATTATAACAGTTACTGTATGGCATAATTTTTTTGTCCTGTTCACATTCTTGAAGCCACAACCATAAAGCCCGGATACAACACAAAAAAAATTCCTTACTTACCGTAGTTAAATTAATACCTAACAATTTGAGATAGCTAAAGCTGTGTTGCTAAATCAAAGTTGGAGTTAGAATCCTTAAAACTAATGAGTACACCTGTAGCTTTTTTCCCTTTTATGTTGACGTTTTTACTGTTTGAACAGAATATGGTTCATTTTCATAGTCATGTTTAACCTACCTTCTTCAGCCCAAATTGAACGAAGAGCGATACGATGAACAAACGTCGAGAGAAAATTCAAACTTTAGGTAACACAAACAAGAACGAAGAGCGATACGATGAACAAACGTCGAGAGAAAATTCAAACTTTAGGTAACACAAACAAGGAACAGAAAGTTAGCATAGATATATATGCGATTACAAAAAAAAATGGAGAGCGAAAGGACAGTTAACGCTGAAATAATGGTGAGCGAATTATTAAGTAATACTTTTACAAGTGTAACAAATACTGTTTTTATAAATATCTTTAAACTATCCTATCTACAATTATTATAAATATGAAAAATCTTATTTCGTGAAAATGGTTCTCTCCCAATTTTTTTTTTTAATTTTCTTTTAAATTAGTACTGTATATCTTTTTTTTAAAAAAAATGTATTCCTTAGGGGGTTAAATCGGGATGCAGTCAAACATTTTCTTTTGAAAAACAATAATTGAGCACGTATCATTACTAAACTAAGATTGTTTATCAGTTCCTCTTCAACAATAATTCCTACATCGCTAAGATGACCAATCCAGTTGACAGTCATTTGCCAGAAAACCTGGTGTGAAATTAATTCATCTTGATTATAAAATAAAGTGTAAAATTAAAGAAAAAATACTAGTTAATTGCCTAGATTCAGTTCTTATCAGGCAGTTAATCTCATTTTTATTGATCATATGAAAAAAAAAAAAAAAAAAAAAAAAAAAAATACGTGTTTGTGAAAATCTGAGGCCCCCATATGGCACCTTACGGGAAGTTAAATTTTCTCAAATGCAAGTCAAACTCCAGGTCAAGAGGTCAAAAATTTGGTACTCGAAGAAAGGTCTTGTCTCGAGAAATATACCTGTAAATTTGAAAGTCCTAGCACCAACTCTTGAAAAGTTATGGCGAAGGTTAAAGGTTTTTCATAGTTAGTAAAATGTCAAGGTCAATGTCAAATGGTGCCCCAAGGGAAGCTCTTGTCACATGTGATACACATGTTCATGAAAAGTGAAAGCCCTAAAACCAAACGTTCAAATGTTATGGCCAAAGTTAAAGTTTTTTTAAAAGTAGGTCAAACTCCAAGGTTAAGGTCAATGCCAAAATGGTTGGTATCGAAATGAAGGTCTTTTCACAAGGAAAATTAATGCACATGTGAAGTATGAAAGCCGTGGCATCAACTGTTTAAAAGTTATGGTCAAGGTTAAAGTCTCATGAAATTTTGCAAAAGTGGGTCAAACTCCAGGGTCAAGGTCAAAGGATCAAAGATGTTAGTAGCCAAGGAAGGTTTTGTCACAAGGAATACACATGTGAAGTATGAAAACCCTAGCACTTACTGTTCAAAAGATATTGTTAAGCTTATAATTTTTCAAAGTTAAAGTAGGTCAAACTCCAAGGTCAATATCAAAAGGTCAAAGTTGTTGGTATCCAAAGGAAGGTCTTGTCATAAGGAACAAATGTGAAGTAAGAAAGCCCTAGCCCCAACTGTTCAAACGTTATGGCCAAGGTTAAAGTCTCATGAAATTTTGCAAAAGTGGGACAAATTCTACTGTCAAGGTCAAATATGACGGTACCCAAAAAGAAAGGTCTTGTCACAAGAAATACACATGTGAAATATTGAAGCCATAGTTCCAACCAATCAGAATTTATGGGCAAGGTTAAAGTTTTTGCGGACAAATAGACAGATAGACACACATACGGGCGGACAGGACAAAAACTATATTCCCCCGAATCTTCGATTACGGGGGCATAAAAACTTTTTAACTGTCGTTTACATCAGTGAATAATATGAAGTAAATATGTACAAACAAAGAGCAAGATCAAAGAGCTAACAAAGATTAAAGCAAAGGTTGAGAAAAGGAGGAAAGGAGAAGAAATGAGCGGTGAGTAAATCCTGAAGGAAAAGAAAGTCGTGAGCCTACATTCAACAAAGGATAGATAGTGGAACGTTTCAGAGATTGAATAAACGCTGTCTGAAGAAACGATGTGTTTAACCGAAATGAATTTGTACTAGACATGATTTGTATAAAAACTTAAAATGCTCTGTAATGTTTAGTTTTATACATGTATGACGCCTATCTCAGTCTAGATCTGTAGAAATTTCTCGGTATTTAATTTAACTAAGCAACACATAGCACTACTAATAATAAAATAATAATACTATACATACGAGAAAAAAGTATTACTAGTACTCTATATAAGTATCCCTCACAAAAGTAACTGTAATCCATGTAACTGCCAAATATAGGAGGTAGTTACACACAGGAGTAGGTTCGTCTAGTAAACTGAGTTAAGCCTAGAAATCCAAGCTTGTACATGGATATGCAATAGATTAATCAAACATTTAAATACAATATGTGTATGACAATCATTTATTGTTAACAACATGTAACAGATATTCAAAAGTAAATTGGGACTACAACTGTTAAGAAATTAAATTTTCGATAAACTGCCTGAAAAGTTGCAGATACCAAAAATATCTATTAAGTAAAAAAAAATCGTGAGACTTTATAAGGATAAATAACACAAACTTTTTTCGAGAATCAGCAATATCTCTATTTATATTTGAGTTCATATAAGTAATTTGATCAACGTTTGCCAAAGATAGTGTGGACATTTTGTAAGATTTTGTTATAACGTCATAAAAATGTACCACAATTTGTATAGATTCACATAAAACATGGCAGAAAATCGCAAATTTGAACACAAAAGAAATCCTACGATTTCATAATATTTTCACATTTGAGAGCAAAAGGCGCATTTAGAGTTATAAAACTTCGCACATTCAAATAACTTTCATTTAATGAGATCTAATGTAAAAATAAAAAAAAAAACGAACAGTGGTCCATCTCAAGAAAAAACCCAACAAACGATAGATCATTACAAATCTGTGAACAGGGCATCAAACATGGATCCCTGGAAATTCCACAGAACTATCAATTATAAATAAAAACAATGTTGTCTTTCCTTGGATCGATTGGATGAACTCATAATTTTCTCGACAAGCTACATTATAGATTTTTTTTGTCCAATCATGATCAATCATTCTTATGTTAACGTACTTTTAAAATATCACTACAATAAAATTTTATGATAACAAATTCCTTTAAAAATTTAAAACATCTAAAATGTAGTTCCATTGAGCGGAACAATTGTTGTCTGTAATGTAGAAGTGTTTACAAAGGCTGTTGTGAAATTTACAAACGTTGTAGTATCATTTTTTGTTTTGAAGGCATCAGGAAGCGTGTGAAATCCAAATATTGCTTCTCCCCATGTTTCCGTTCCGAGAACCAATACCAGAACAGCAATAATATTTAATGGAAATCCAGCTATTACCTATATAAAAAATTAAATCCAAAATATTAAAGCCAAAGAACAAACGTCCTTAACACAATCTTTACATTGTGCGATGTTGTGTACAAATTTATGCAAGAAGGAATCATTTTTAATAAGAACAAATGAAATATTTACTCTCTTACCATGTCTAAAACCTTGACAAATCCGTAAGAAAAAACAACTGCGTTAGGTGGGGTGGCAACCGGAAGCATAAAGGCAAATGATGTAGCAATGGCCGTCGGGAACATGAAGTATAGTGGATTTACTTCAAGAGTGACAGCCTGTATAAAATGGAAAATTACTTAGTTCTTCAAAACTATTCACACATAGTCCAAAATTTTTCGAGCATGTATCATTTCCTTATCGTAAAATCCTCACTTTCCTCAATGGACATAACAAGATGATTTGTCAGAGATTACACGTAATGTTTGTTTCTATTAAATAATGAAAATCTTTTATCATTTTGTTTAGCACCTGTTCAGCAATTTAAACTTTAAAAATTAGTAAATAATACGTATTTTTATGCTTGAAGCTAGCAAAAACTGTCAATACCAGTTCTTTCATTATTGGCATCATCAGGGTACATATAGCAACGTTGCTTGTTACTTCTGTAGCGGCGGCTACCATTAAACATAAAACAAGGTTCATCACCCAAGGTTCAAAATCCTTAAATACTGTTAATTGTTCTCCTATCAATTTCGATAATCCAGATTCCTAAAATAGTGAAATTGTTAAAAACAATGGTCAAGTTCAAATCAATATTAATAGTTAAGTATTCTTAGTATGAAGTCAATAATACTTTGTTTTATATATACACTTGTAAATGTCCATCTCATTAAGATTGCACGTTCTTAAAAAAGTAATTTGGAATGACATACCAGTTTGATAATTGACATAGAATACGAAAGTATTAGAACTATTTTCAACATTTATTAATTGTATTCGAAAGATGTGTATTGAAATACAATTTATAATGTCAACAAACTTTTTAAAAAACTTAGTAGCTGTAAAGAAGACGGTGGTTTAATAGTATACTGAGCAATATAATATATTTCAAACCTGGCTCCCTTTTGCGATAGCAAATCCTCCTCCAAGCAACAAAACTATTCCCCATGGAACTTTTTTCTCCGCTGCCTTCCATGAAAGAAGAGGAGGTAAAGGTTTTCCCTTCTCTAAAAGTAGAATGGCTGACAAAGGTAAAGATTTGATCGACAAATCATCAATCAAACGCCGATAAGTATAGTCTCAAATTAGAAACTAGCAGAAACCTAAAGAAAATATTTTACAATGCTTTATTTCTTCATGTATATTATAATATTGCATCATAAACCTATTCTTAGTGCATTGAAGCATTTAATTATCTTTACTTCTCAAATCTTCATTTTGAACGTGATAAATGCTAGAGTACATGAACCCATATGTATTTTACTTAACCTTTGAAATTGTGAGGCAAAACAGAGGGAAATAGAAATAGGCTGATGGCGACAAGAATAGCCGGTGTGGAGTCTGTTACTGTTCTGAAAACAGAAATACACTGAAAACAGAAATACAATTTTATGTCCCATAAAGTGTTTTATATACAAGCTTTTTTACATTGTAATTGGCATAGTTAATTTGTAATTTACAATTATCATTTGTATCTTGTATGAAGATCGGTTTCAGCTTGATCGGGATCGAACTCCCAATTATGAAATCCGGTGGAAACGCGAGGTTTTGGTCATTTTAAATCTTAGATACAAAATGAAGAATTGCTTCATATACACATACATCTATATATCGAATACAGTAACTTGAAATTTTTATAGAAAACATATTTGTTGACTTTGTTGAGGTACATTTACATGAAAAAGACATAAACTACTTCAGTGGAATTGAATTTGAAATCTTGATCATAATTATATAAATGCTTTAAACGTTAATAAAATTTAATTTTAAAGGGAGGAAAATTGTTATTTTTGAGGAACATCGAAAAATTAATAGCGGAATATACTGTACATGCGAAAAAAAACATAAAAGTCATGTAGTTAATGTGATCAGCAAATGGAAACGGAAACTTCTTGCAAACTATATTCATATTTGATAAAGTATGAAGTAAATACTTTTTTGGAAATAAATCTCCCCATCCTCCTACTCCCCCTAAATCTCTGGTGACCCACAACAGTGCCAGCAGAACAAAGTGAACAATAACTGCACCTTGTCCGAACCTACAAAATAACACAGTTAGATAACGTACATATACATGTACTATTTGCTGTACATTCTAAGCTATATTTTGGTGAATACATGCGAGTACTTACGTAATTGGTCCCAATTCTTCGTATTCTCTTCTTATAACATTTTTCACTTTCTTTGATTGTTCTGGGGATTTTCTATTAAAAGTTCTTGGAAAAGGAAATTAAGAATGAATAGGTTATCTTACCGCCTATAAAGTTTCGAATATATTATATTTTGCTAACACTTATTCGTAAGGAACACGCCATTTTAAATTTGCATTTTTTTAATTCCAGATCAGAGAGATAATTTCATTAGTGATGAAAGCAAAAATAAAAATAGAAAAAAAATTCCCCGAATGAAATATTTTTTGTAATAGGTAATATTTATTTCTTGAAGAATTATGACGATAAAGCTTCGAAAGGCTCACTTGCAATGGAGAAACAGAACCTGGAGCCATGCCCAGACAAAGATCACCAGTATGGCGGATATTGGTAAACAGTACTGCATCCATGTTGTAAAGGTAACAGGGGATGGAACATTTTTCTCTTCGAAAGCTCTGAAGAATTAAAAATAGTGTGCATTCATGCTGAAATATTCAAATAATGCTCTTTTTGCAAATGTTGTATTGTACAATAGCATGTTTACGATAAAACTGTATTCCATGCACTCCTTTAAATATTAACATATGTTGAAGAAAGAGTTATATTGCATACACTCCTCTTAGCATTTCGATGTATCTAGCTTTCAACAGTTATCCAAAAGGCACATATCCTAATTTCAAATTCAAAGTATGATTTTCTCCTCAATTCAGCAAATATAAAAAATAAGCTATTTTAATATGTACATGTACTCACGTGTCTGCAGCTCCCTTCATGACGATGTTCGGACCAGTTCCGGTAAGACTGGCCACGCCCCCACAGTTAGCAGAATAAGCAATTCCTAACGACAGTGCCTTACATACACGTGAGTACTCTGCATTTTCAGTTTTTTCTTCGTCAGCTCGTTTCTTGGCATTTTCTCTTCTATATGAATAGTAATGGTACAATCTATACTGAGGACTTTTCATTGTTACTGATATTTATTCAAACTTTTGGACCTACTCATTATTGAAAACATATTCCACATGTTGGAAATATTTTTTTTTTTTTTACTTTTTATACTTTTGTGCATAATTGCTACTCACAACTGATTTTCTTGGTCATTGGCTAGGTTGCCATTGGAACTATGTTTTATGCCATTCTGTACAACTTTCAGTTCAAAGTCAACCTCATCCTGATCAACAGCTGTGAAAAGCCCATTGTTTAAATATCTATAGGTATATCAATATAAACATGGAAAATATATAATAAATGAAACAAAGGTTATAATACTATTTAAAATACTGCATATGTTGTAATGAAAGATTACATGTTTTTTCGATTCAGGAGTAAGGAGTTGATCTTTACGTTGCGGGTTCGAATCCCACTGCAGGACATGTAAACCGTCCCTCGGATGAGACCGTAAAACCGAGGTCCCGTGTCGCAGTAGGTGCTGGCACGAAAAAGATCCGAGAAAAGTGCCGAGCACAGGTCGAAATTTGCAGCCCTTCACTGGCAAGTAGTGGCCTCTCAATATGAGTAAAAGTACTTAGAGGAACGTTAAGCAAGCAAACAATATTCATCATAAAGGATGGTTATCTATTTCATTATAATAAAGTTCTCTATCCATTGAAATTTCTACGTAATATTAGAGGTTTTCCTTTTAGCAAATTATCCCCCCTCTTTTTTCCAAACATTTAGTGCCTTGAATCCGAATACACGATCTTCATCATTCGTCAAGGCTTTCATTTGAGAAACATTAGTGAACACATTTTTTCATGTCAGTGCCTCATAGATTTCAAATCTTTCTTTGTATAGTTAACATTTGGTATTTACTGGATACATAGAAAAAAGATAATTGTATTTAATTAAATTAAACTTCTAAAGAAAAGAAGTGGGGGGGGGGATAAAACCTGTGGCCTCGTCCTGTTTCTCTGCTTCTCTTGTTTCCTTCATTTGGACCAGGACAGCGTTAGCTATGGGAATCATCATGGCCGTAGTAGCGGTGTTACTGATCCACATCGACAGGAACCACGTGGGTAACATCATACCAAACATTAACCTGTAGGGATTTTTTTGTTGTTGAAAATTTGGATCTGAAATACTGCTTGCTTTACTTAAATCTTATACTAACAATTATTTTAGACTTCCACATTAAAATAATATACTTTTTTTTAGTAGGAAGTCATTCTTAAAATTAATTTTCATGTTTGCATTTTCAAGCAAGAAAAAGGGTCCTTTACTAAATAATGTTAAAACCTCTCACATAAGCATATACATGTACCTGGTTATAAAGGATTTTAAGATTTATATTAATTTTATATTTAATCTTCAAGCAAAGAATAAATAAAAGAAAAAAAGAAAATTTAACCGTAGAACAGATCTATTTATTGTAATACTTGCCATCTTGGCTCTGAACCAACAAGCATAAGGACTCTAAGGGCAAGACGTTTATGTATGTTCCAATGTTCAATGGCGGCCGCCACAATTAAACCTCCAATAAATAAAGCAGCAGTGTCCTATGAAAAATATGACACATTGGCAATAATGAATAATACCTAAAGGCAGCAACACTATTTGCTTTTTTCTCTTTTTTTCAATTTACTTTATTTAACTAGTATTTGTTAATTAAGTGACTAAAATAAGTACATGTATAACTGTTACTGTAATTGTGAAGGGGAAGGCTAAATCGTAAGAATTAGAATATTTTCATGATTTAGAAAGCATTTCCATTTTTTTCAATTTCCTAAAAATGATGAACATTTTTATCCTTTTCGTTAATTTACCACATAATTGTAATTTGTTGAATTATTCAATGAAGTTGTATTAATGATACGTACATTGATATATGTTTTCGATACATCTTTTGCATACAGAAGTCCGACCATAGGAAATAGGATGATTGGTAGAAGTGCCGTCACAGATATCGGCAGAGCTTCTGTTATCCAAAACACTGCCATTATGATTATAACGTATGCACATTTTGCTTCCTGTATAATAAAATAAATAAGTGTAATAATTTAATTGATTTTTCATTATTTTATTTTTCTGATAGCTACATGTACACCATCAATTCTTTACAAAAAGAAAAATAAAAGGCTACATGTAACTAACATTACTTTCTAAGTACTACGTATCATTTTTACTTGCATAGAAAAATAAATTTTGTTTGATTTCAATATGGAACTTCTGCAATTTTATTCCACTCTATGATATTAAATAGTTTTGACGTAATCGGCCGACGTATTGACATCACGTACACACTGCTAAATAGATCAGCATAGGAAAGAAGAGAAAAAAGTGTCTTTTAGTCTGTTTCTTCTCATTTATTAAATAGAAAATGTGATTAGGTATATTTAAGGTACAATGTATTGTCAATTCAGAATATTAGGGTATTAAATCATGATATAATATTGTGGCAGTTGTGGATGAAGTAAAACCCGTGTCAACCACTAATTGATATTTTTTTCAGATTCACTATTATATAAATAGTGCACGTTTTTTGAGGGTAACATTTGAAATTGACACCCCAAGGAAACCATTGTCAACCGACGCGTCAGCGGAGGTTGACAATGGTTTTCCGAGGGGTGTCAATTTCAACTGTTACCCTCAAAAAACGTGCACTATTTATTTTATTATACTGAATGTCCTATTGATTTCGGATGTCATAAAAAATTCGGAGATCGTCGTTAAGTTCACGCTTAGAAAGCTTTCAAACTCCCCGCTTCTAGTTTTCTCAATAAGAAAGCTTCGGACAAGATTTACCAACCTCGTTATTGTTTGTTTGCTACTCAAAAAGACCTTTATCATCTAAAGTTTGCACTCGCAAGGATGTTTCGTCTGTCGTTTGTTGTTTTCAAGTCAGCTACATCGGACGCAAACTTTTATTGACGTCGTTTATTCGGCTTCTTTCAAACGCACAACCGACGTTTTGAGAATTCTACGGTGAACCGTACGCGCATGATTTGAACGCATGTGACATTTTCGTAATGTTACCCGTTGTCAAGTGTGTTGCTAACGCTGAGGGTAACATTACGGATTGTTAAATGCGTCTAAACCAATCAGATTTTAGTATTTAACATGAAAGTATAATAATGTGCAATACTAGTACACACATGGAATTCTGTATTGGAATCTAACAATATATCTAATACATAAACCTTTTTCCGGGTTAAGATGTAGTGATTTGATTTTATTTAATATATTACCATTTATCTTACCAAATCATGATTTTCTTTCAAACTCAAAGGTTATTGAAAGGTATGGAAGATTTTTTAAATAACTTTTGGAAGGGATGGGGGAGGGGGCAACATTACCTTGTGCGTTTAAGTATAAAAATAAGCTCAGTCTCCCTCTCTTATTTGACAAATAAAAAATAAATTAACGTTAATTTAATTTAGTAGATATAAGTAGACATTGCCCAAGAGCAGTAGCAACCATTAACTAAATACTTAAACAATGTATAATGTGGGTTTTTCCTGCTTTACTTGTTGTTTACGGACAGAAAATAAGCTCGATGTTACATAATATTCTATGACGCTCTTAAATTTGTGGAACACTCAGGTACGTGTTTCTTTTTTACTTATTTTACTAGGATGTATTTCCAAATACACAAATAAGTCGTAATAAAGATGACGCATCTTTAATGTTTTATATTATTTACCTTTATAGAAATGCCAGACTTTACACACCTTAACTTTGTTGAAAAACCATTTTATTTTTCTAGAAACACCTGATGATTTCAATTTCGGAAAGGATCTGTTTTATCGCAATAAGTATTCACCATCTGATTTTAAGTCAGTTTTTTTTAAATAAATATATAATTAAATCCTGCAATGTATTTATGAAGAGAACAAGCACATTTAGGGTTCAACAAACAACAGCGTTTTTAAACGCGTCTTTTGTGTATCTAAATTCTCCGGGCGTCAAGATACCACGCTCGTTTTAACACTTACAATATTTTCGTATAGATTAAATTTGATTTTAACATAGAATTTATTTTTCATATTATGAATGTTCAAAAAAACTGTTGTCTAATACCTGTGCCCTAGATTTTTCAAAGTGGTGTATTTTAAGTGACTTCTTTATTCGAAGTTGATATCATAGAAAGAGTATACATGAAGATAATATCTCCACTAAAGTAATAACTGGAGCAAGATTTCATAATCTTTAATACGGTTGACGTTTAACAAAACAAATTACCATGTAAATATGTATATCATCCGAGATTCGTTACATTAACATGTATTAAGTTAACAGGACGTACACAGATCTTGTCACTTAGCTGTAAATCTTTTTTGTCCAATTTCAGCTGTGTACCAAAACGTAAACATTCTGTTTAAATGGGTCAACAATCCTTGATGATCTTGTTCTGGGTAAATTTAGCTTGTAAAATTGATTGTTTTTGACATTGTTTAGTCCAAGTTTGATCTCTGTACCTACCATATTGTTTTATATATATCATAACCAGATTTCACTTGATGCAATTTTTTCATGTAGATTAAATATGATTTTCGCATGAACATGATTCAAATTAAATTCAAGAAACTTTCTAAAGTCACAATTTTAAATTTCAAAAACTCGTGCAAGTCACCGTACGAACATTTACAAAGTTTATTTGAGAAATATAGTTAGAATTTTGGCATTTATGTTTGTCGAATCCAAGATTTCCAAATATTCCTCTACATCTGCTTTTCATGTATCTAAATATAATTGTCTAAAAGCATGGAAGTTGTAATTGTTCAGATGTCATGAAAAATTGCGGGTTGTTTAAAGTTAAACATTGGAATCATTGTATAACCCCCATCCCCACTCCCAGTCCCCAAAAAGAATAAATTTAAAATGTGATCTTCAGTCTTGAGTTGAATATTTTAAATTTGTACATTAGAGAGAAGAATAAAAGTTATGGAGACCAAAAATTAAGAGTATACACTATAACTTAAATTTTGAGACAAAATATAAGTACTTACGTTTCCGTCAATAAGAAGAATCAGTGGTAGCAAAACAATTGGAGTTAAAGTGACAATGAATACATTCCTAATGCTTAGAAGTATTCTGCAGATCGTCTGTTTCTCAGATGACATGGTTGTTAATACTCGCGTAAATTTTTCAAAAATAAAATAGGCAAGACTTCAAACGCAGAAATATTAAACTTATTTGCATTATTGCACGCGTCAAGGCGAACTCGATCCTTGCGGTTTACGGGAAAAAAAAATTTACAAGGTAAAGTAAAGCGTGTCAATAAAAAAGAACGTACTCTCACAAATAGCTGTTTATGTCAGAAAAGTGCATGCTCCCCGTCCAGCGGCACTAAGGAGGTTGTATCCTGCTACATTGTATACTTTTTAATTTGTATTGTAAAAAAATCATTTGAATTGGATAATTTTTCATTTTCTTTCTGTATTTTCAATTTGCATTGTATAATTTCTTATTTGTATTGTATTGTTGATAGAAATTCTTAGCATGTCTTCAACAAACAAGAAAAGAAACTGCAACTCAAAATCAGACAATGCTACCAGGTATGATGTCTTGATGCTTGATGCTATAACTTTGAGGAGAGAGTTTAAACTAATTGGAAGACTTGGAAGGGAGGCGTATAAATACATGCAAAATCTGAATGCCAAGAAGGGTAAAAGATAACTGCAAGTCATCTATATACCCGTCTTGAAATATTTAGCAATAGTTTAATGTGTAAGTTGCATATACATATATTACCATTTCCTACTCAGTATTGTGGCCCTGTTTCTATCATTTTCAACTGGTTAGTAAAAGGTAAAAACATCATTGATGATTATTAACTAAATTTAAATGCTTTGCTGTACCAAATCCATTCTTCATAAATAACAAAAAGCAAGAGCAGAATGATGTCTTTCCTGTCGCAGTTTCAGCTATCCGACTCTAGGCCAGTGGATGTGTGTTTAATACGTTTTGATGTATATATGTTGAAACCATTTTTGTTACGTCACCTTTTGTTAAACCTAGTCCAGTAAATTTCTTATTGTCCTGCACCTGTAGGTGTCTAATAAGATTCAACTTATTGGACAGCTACAGGTAACACTGAAATCAAAACAAATGGCGATGCAGAGGGCGAAGCACTTTAAAAGGTTTGATAAATTTAAGAATTTAATATGAGCAATGTAGACAATTAGTCACGTAAATTATAAATATTTCACAAGATAATCTTTTGAAATTGCGTGAATAATCCACGGTGAACTGAATGTCGCAAAGGAAATGTAGAGGAATCCGTGGCACCGATCTTAAATTCCATTAATTCACCGTTCATTACTCTTTATTTCACATTGTTTGATACACGGAATATTCACAGAATCTTCGGGACACAAAAGAAGAATCAGATGCCTGTGTATCTTTACTCACATCCTTCGGCTTTTTTTGATTAGTTGAACATCTATTTTTCGTCTCTTAACTATTCCGCTCACCAAATCTCAAATCAAATATATTAAAGACTTTCGTTTAAAAATTTAAAAGTTCATTTTTCACAAAATTCACAAATTTCATCTCGCAAATTCTATGGTCGATACAATGACCTTCTCAGCAAATACAATCTATCATTAAGTCGAATGCTGATTGATTTTTTCATACCTAATAGTTAGGCCATTATTCACACATTGAAATGTCTACGGATTTTTCCGTTTTCCCGATCATGACAAGGAGCACACGACGGGTTTAACCAGTCGGCAGGGGATGCGTACTCCTCCATTGCACCTGATCCCACCTTTGATGTTTTTAGAGGTACGTGTTTGCTTTGCTCCTGATTTGTATTTTTTCTATGAAGTTGAGCTTGATTACTGTTCGTTATCTCCATATTTGATGTATACATTTTTTTAGAAGGAGACGAAGTGAGCTTATTTTTCCTCTTCTCAATATTAGGACAGATAAGAGTGTAAATATAGTAAAACAAAAGGGTAAGGAAAGTAAACGAGTAAAAAGTCTTTATTATAATATCTAAAAGATTTTAATTTTCAAAAGTAAGCCGTACATTTGCTCTCAGAAAATGGTGTCATTCTAATTCGTTATCACATAAAAGGCTAGAGTCGAATGGTATTTAGATTGATAATCCATGTTTATATATTTTTAATATTAAAATGACTCTATGTCATTTAATCATGATGTTGATCTTGCAAATAAAACTAAAATAATGTCGGATAGCACCTACAACATGCATTTTGTATACTTAATGTTCAAGCTGTTTGATATTTTATACTTCGATAAACAATAAATTATTATAAAGTTTTAGAAAGAATAATTTGCTGCCTTCCTTGAAAATAATAATTATAAACAGGCAGAACCTTACAAGTAATATTAAAGGTTGCATTTGTAAATTGCAACACAGAAATATTTTATTATTGTTTAAATTATATTCTTATCATAATTATTGATAAAATTAAATAATCATACAAATTTCAGAAGCAATTAGCCATAATTAAAATCCCAATCAGGTAGTTGCATTAAACGGATTAATAGTTGATATTGACAAATTGTTGAACAAGGTTGACGTTTCGTTTGATACTTGAAACGCAGCTGGAAGTGTATGAAAACCAAATATTGCTTCTCCCCATACTTCCGTTCCAATGACCAATACCAAAACAGCTATGATATTTAATGGAAATCCGGCTATCACCTAGAAGTATCCAACGTTAATGATTATTGACACAAAATATATTATATATTGAAATGCAAATACATGTACCAAATCATTTAAATTGAAATGTAAGATATATATATATTTTAGAGTTATACAAAAAGTAGTGTCTTTCGTTTAATTAATAATTTCAAAGAATAATCTTTTTAATTTATTATGAATGCATAATAAAGAATTAAATGTATCATGCAGTCTTACCATGTCTAATACTCTGACAAAACCATAAGAAAACACAACTGCATTAGGTGGAGTAGCGACAGGAAGCATAAAGGCAAAGGATGTAGCGATGGCCGTCGGAAACATGAAGTATAGCGGGTTGACCTCAAGCGTAGTAGCCTGGTTGAAATAAATTATTTATTTCTTCAAGAATGCACGTGCTGGATATTGATGTTTATTTAATATTTATCCTATGAGACAAAGTGAAAGACAGAACACATGACCAACATTACTTTTCTTCAATGTTTGTCAAACCACGACTGTAGGTACGAGGGGTGATCAAAAAGTTTTCGAACTAATTGAATTACTTCCTTAAAAGAAATAAAATGAGGTTTCAGTGTTTGTTTTTTTTTATTTTTTAAAGTGGTCATCTCCGAGTTTTATGCACATCTGCCATTGTTTTGCCCATGCACGAATCACGTGATCAAGGCGGTCACTTGACATGCTCCATAGCGGTCTGTTCACAGAAGCTAAAAGATTTTTCCGAGTCTTATATTTCTTATCATGCAAATTATTTTTTATAACAAGAACAACCCATCTGTCAGAAATGGCCAAATCTCGGCAAAGGATAGTTGGGTAAGGATATCCCTTCCCAGAATTAGCATGGTGACCATCACAATCCGAGTCCTCTGTCTCGGGAGCGTCGTTTATCCATTGTGGATAAAGTATGGGCGCCTTCTTTTTATCATATCTCATATGTTTAAAGTCTAAAATAAACGATATTTTAGGGATTTAATAATTATATTATTGTCAAAATATTCATCTATTTTTCTAATTGTAACTTGGCGAGGTTTCATAACAAATTGTTCAACTAAGGACACATCTTTTCCCCGGCTTGCTTTCGCTGGGCAATAGAACAAACATTATTTTTAACCTTCTCCCTGCCTTCACTAAAACAATCAATCCAATTAATGATTAAACTTCTGGTAAGTCTTTTGTTTTCATAAACCTTGTACAAATTATCATATTCTACTGCAAAGGAATTTCCAAGATATACGTTAAACTTTACAGCCCTTCGTTTCTCGAGTACGACTGAGCCAACCATTTTTTTTGTCACAAGTCACCTGCATATTGACGTCATTTTCATTTTGTGACGTCACAAACACGGGACAAAAAATTATAGAACATGTATATGACTATATGTGTGCCAAATTTCTGATCTGATTTGTGGTTTTGTAAATATGGAGATAGTTCGCGAACTTTTTGATCACCCCTCGTATATGTATTAGATTAAATAAACTGCCAATATGTACATGCAAAAATGTAGAAACTATAGCTGGTAAAATACATGTATAAGTAAGGTTTACCAATTCTTTCATAATTGGCATCATCAGTGTACATATGGCTGTGTTACTTGTAACTTCCGTGGCACCTGCTACTATAAAGCATAGTACAAGATTCATCACCCAGGGTTCAAAGTCCTTAAACACTGTCAATTGTTCTCCTATCAATTTCGATAACCCAGAATCCTGAAATTAATAAAATAAAAGGAATAATTAGTAAATATAATCCAGGTCACATATTAAGTCAATTTCAATGAGAACAGGTAACATTTCGTTTTTCTATTCTTGAGCTCTTTGATTTCAGTTGTATAAGATTGTGAAGTATCAGTTTTCATTCAATGAAAAAAAGAAATAAAATGCAATATTTGAAATACAGTTATAACAACAAAATGCCAAACTTAACGATGGCAGTAGAATCAGCCCCTTTATATACGGTAAAAATATTCAAGACTGTTTGCTTTTTACGGGTTTACCTTGCTTCCTTTTGCCAAAGCGAATCCTCCCCCAAGCAATAAAATCACACCCCATGGTACCATCTTTTCAGCGGCTTTCCATGGAAGAAGGGGCGGTAAAGGTTTACCCTTTTCTAACAAAAAAAATATCAAAAGTCACTATCATTTCCGATAACATTGTATAAATATCTGAATCTATATATGCCAAATCCTTTTCTAACAAAAAAATACCGAATGTCACAGATGTAACCTACCATTTCCGATAACATTGTATAAATATCTGAATCTACGCTAAATCCATTCCTGTTACGGAGAGGAGTTAATTGAAAATTGAAAATTAAGCTTTAGGAATGAGTTTATCTTGTCATTCTTTTTTGTTGAGGTAAAGAAAACATCTATAATTATTGCCAATGTCGTGTAAACCTAAAACTAAAAAAAATTAATAGAATCTTGCATCTGGATAAGAAAAAAAAGAAACGTTTATCCCTAGTATCAGATTTTCAGCGTGTTGTAAATACATTAACAAGATCTTTTCACTAAATAAATAAAATATCGTTTAAACATTGAAAGTAGGAATAAACATGAAACATATATTATTTACAATTGTTATGATTCACCTTGAAATTTGTGTGGCAGAACAGAGGGAAATAGAAAGAGACTGATAGCGATTAAAATGGCTGGAGTGGAATCTGTCACGGTTCTGAAAATATATATAAAAAAATATTCAGTACGTGTACAATCTATTTCACATAACATTTCACATGAAACATTATTAAAATTGATAGAAATATTTGTAGGTATATTTTTGTCTCATTTAATCGAATAATTATTGAGAAAAAAAATTTAAACATACATTTTTATCTTTTCGTGAGTTTTCTTTTTTTGTGTGTGTGAGTTTATTGATGTAGTTATGAAGGGGAATGCATGAAAGAAGTGTAACTGCCTTTTCTAGAACTAAATCTATGGGCATGCATTTGATAACAGAAAATAACCGTGAAGAGATATGATAAATACTTTTCTGGAAAAATATCACCCCATCCTCCAACTCCCCCTAAATCTCTGGTGACCCACAACAGTGCCAGCAGAACAAAGTGAATAATGACTGCTCCCTGTCCAAAACTACAAAACATTAATTATAGGACATACTGAGTCAAATAGCTTTACTCAATTTATAAACTTATTGATTGAATTCCATTATTGTAAAAACGTACGTTATTGATCCAAGTTCTTCATACTGTTGTCTTATAACATTTCTGACCTTCTTTGCTTGTTCAGGGGAACTTTTATTATATGTTCTGAAATAAATACATTTAAATGTTTGTATCAAAATATTGTTTTACTTGTCAAGTCTTCTGGCATTTTTCAACTTGTGTAAATGTTGAAGTTTAAAAACTTACTTGCAGCGTAGAAATAAAACCTGAAGCCACAACCATACAAATATCACAATGATGGCTGATATTGGTAAACAATATTGCATCCATGTAGTAAATGTGACAGGAGATGTGGCGTTTTTCTCTTGAAAAGCACTAGAGAACAAATAAATAAATCTAAATTCACTAACACAGATTAATCTAAGAGTAACTAAAATTTTTGAATTTATAAATAAGGATACTGAAGAGTGCAAAATTCCGTCATGTTATTTGTTTATGTACCATATCACTTTTCAAACAAACGCTTTCATTTGAGGCTTCATAAAACCAGACACATATAAATTAATAATGCTATTAATATGTGTCAGATAAAACATTTTACAATAAGGTTTTAATAGTTTACTTTTAAAAAATCAAATGAACAATATGAAAATAATTATGTATTCTTTGAATAGTACGCTCACGTGTCTGCGGCTCCTTTCATGATGACGTTAGGACCAGTTCCGGTAAGGCTAGCAACGCCCCCACAGTTAGCAGAATAAGCTATTCCTAACGACAGGGCTTTACACATGCGCGAGTACTCTGCGTCTTCAGTTTTCTTTTTCTTGTGTTGTCCCTCAGTGTTGTCCACCCTAAAAAATCGAATTATCTTGTAATGACGCCCTTGTTTGTATTAAGCATATTTTGGTTATTAATTTTTAAACAGGAACTCAATCGGTATATAATTATGGGTTTTGTTTTGTTTTGTTTTGTTTTTGTTTTTTTTTTTGAATTATTAATTCAACAAGTAATTTTTTTAAATGGGTACACGAAAACAAAAGAAATCTTACTCTAACAATTCTGTGATAAAATGTTTTGTGTTTAAGTAAAGTATTCTACTTACAAATGTTTTTCATTGTCTTTGTCGAGGTTTCCGTTGGTCATATTTTTTGTACCATTCTTCACGGTAACTTTCAGTTCAATGTCAACATCACCATGATCAACAACTGTAAATGTAAACTTTATTTCTCTTACAGACAAAATGATAGGGCTGAATTATATCTCTTTAAAAGGGTTCCGTCCCCCTTGTATAAAGGAAGGCAGGATTGTTACGATGTAATCAATTCAGTTTGAAAGTCAAATATATGTAAAAGGAAGGAATGGATTAAAAAATCATTCTATACACACGTATAGTTTTTCTTCTAAAAGACTTTTTAAATCGCCTATTTTAGTTCCCTCATGCCATTTTTGGACTTTTTTTTTTTGGTTAAATGAATCTACATTAAACGATATGAATATCAATTTGCATTGGCATCTCCTCCTTCTAATTATATAAAGACAACGATTTGAGGAAAAAATCATATACATTGTATAATTTCGTACAAATCTAATATGAACTTCTATTGCAGCCAATGAATAATGATAAAAATCCTTAATACATCAGTCCTGGTTAGGTTATACAAACCAGAATCTAGAGAATATGTCAGGAATATTTACTTAGAGATTTGCATTGCTGTTTCTGTGGAGATATAACAAAATATTTTGAGTAAAATTATGTCTTTGTAAAATTTTGACCACTTTATTATTTCCTATCCCACTCTTAAATTATTTAAGTAACGTCATTCCTTGTTCTTATAATCTTTTTTTTTTCTTTGGTAATCTGATATAGGTTAGGAACAGTCCGATATTATTGCTAATCTGATAATAAGTGAAATATCAGACTGTCTAAGTACTGATATCCTTCAAAATTTAACTGTTAAATCATTGTCAAATATATTTGTCTGGCACTTTTTTAACAGAACTGTATTAGGCATATATTCGAACAAAAAGTAAATGAAATACACACTACACGAGAAGCTCTCTCTGTCTCTCATTTCATTTTTCATATTCCTAACGAGCTAGATCTGGAGAAAATTTATAATTGAAGCAGTGAAAAGTAAAAACCTTTGATATCGTCCTTGTTTTCTGACTCTCGTGTTTCTTTTATCTGAACAAGGACAGCGTTAGCTATAGGAATCATCATGGCCGTAGTAGCTGTATTACTGATCCACATCGACAGGAACCACGTGGGTAACATCATCCCAAACATTAACCTGGAAGGGACTTTTCGTGCATACATGTAGTATTATGATAATTATGCTATCCACATTAAACTTTAGATTCCAGTTGCATGGAAAAAAACTGCTAACTTAAAGTGAATACTATATGTAAAAGATGATTGTTGATTTGATGTTTGAATTAAATTGAGAGTGAAATTCGTCATCAATATTGTTCTTGATAATTAACATAAGTTAAAATATAATTTCATTTATTTTACTCGCGTTTATTATACATGTTCATTGCACATACTATCATTCCAATAACTGCGTGTCAGTTTGCTTGATCGACAGCAGACCTGGGGCCAATCACTTTGAATGTAATGCATTGAATTACATTTTTTTTTGGAATGTTTACCATATCCAGGGAAGTTTATATACATGTATATGTACAACGCATACCATCTTGGCTCTGAACCAACAAGCATAAGGACTCTAAGTGCAAGACGTTTGTGTATGTTCCAATGTTCAATGGCGGCTGCCACAATAAGACCTCCAAGAAACAGAGCTGCTGTATCCTGTAGAGAAATAATCAAAATTTAAAAAAAAAGAAAAAAGAAAACAACCTTCTCACTTTTTTGAAATCATATAGTGTTTAAGCATATGTTGCAGGTGGGAAAATACTAGTATTGAATATACTGAGAGGTAGTTAATAGATAAATAAATACAAATATTTAAGTCGTTTATGTTGATCATTCTGCTATGTAAATTAGGATTTTGGACTGTTTTACAGACTTGAATTCTTTTTTCAAAAAAATGTTTATTACGATTTATATACTTTTTTTTTTTGAATCTATGAATTTCATTTTACCAAAGTATTAATATCGAGATCATGGATTCCTTCCAAATTTTTTCGGCATTTTATTTTTTTTTCTCGGACAACTTTTAAATTTAAAAAAAAAAGATTAGGTTGAATTAGGATAAAGAGCATTCAGTATATGAAAAAAATAATACTGAGTAGTTCAATCATTAAATCTGTCTTCATTGATTTCCAGTATGTAGTTTTTCTTTATTTCTAAAAATGTTAAGGGGTGGGAGGTAGGGGTGATGTGTTCACCAAAGAGTTGTCAAGGCAATATTAAGCAAGACAGTCAATGTATTTGCATATAAGTAGGGTTTTCAAGTTGATTAAACAAATCCATGCAATAACTTAGTAAATATTCTATAGAGCAGCGAATTAAAGAAGCTCCAATACTTTTTTGTATATACATGTAACTACATGTATATTTATTTTTAATAATCAACTTTTAGAATTGTTTGCCATGCATGTATTAGTGCATCAGGAATTGGTACATATCTATTTGGAGATTAAAATGTAATAATGTTTCATTGATCATTCGTTATAAAAAGTATCAAAATAACTTCTTAGTTTCTAGTAACTTCTAGATTATACATCTACGTAAAATTTAATACGTACATTAAGGTATGTACTAGATACATCTTTTGCATACAACAGTCCAGTCATAGGAAAGAGAATGATTGGTAATAGTGATGTCACAGCTATCGGAAGAGCTTCTGTTATCCAAAACACAGCCATGATGATAATGGAATAGGCACATTTTGCTTCCTATAAAAACAAAACAAGACAATCTCAAGACTTTTTTTTAAATTCTAATGATATTTTCTATATATACGAGACCTTTGTCATAACTTTTTTACTTAACGTCATATTATATCCAAATTTGGTAGAAATGTTTTAACAATAAATTTGAATGACGTGTATTTGGTTTTTTTTAAATATCGTGATTTATTTCAAACATATCCAGAATTATAAACTGCAAAAATCGGATCGTGGAGCAGGTCAAAATTTATTAATTTACAAACAATACACTAAATAATGTCTTCAGTTATATTCTCTGTAAAATGGAAAAAAAACAAAAAAAAAAAAAATCTTAGACGTTTAAATTTAGAACTGTTACATCGATTCATATCCCAAATTATGGCTTAATACTTAGCTCCGTTGAAAAGTAATTAATTTCAAAAGATAAGTAGTCCTTTTTTAAAACAACAAATAAGATGACGTCACGGAGCAGCAGTTGACGATACAATTATATGTTGTACTTGGGAAAACTCCTGAATAAACTCTGAAAATGCTGCAGGAAGCAAGAAATATATGTCAAAAGTGAGTCTTGCATTTGGGGTAAAGGACACAGGCGGTATTTGAGTGATAGAGACTCTGTATCGGACGAGGACGATCTGTGAAGAAACGGCCGGTTAAGGAGGCTGGGGGTCAACAAATTAACCATCAGATATAACTTATTTTTTTTTTAGATATGATATCTTAAGCTGTCAACTATCATTTGGCAAAGAAAAAATTCATACATTTTAGTTTTAAAATTTGATCATTTTTGTATATCTTTATATGGAGCTCTTCTTCTAAAGGAGATCAATATAGTCTATAAATGGTCACGACCACCCAGCCCTCTTAACTGTAAAAATCTTAACAAAAACTTTAAAAAGTTGAACTCAAGGAAAGACATAGGCGCTTCTCAGTTGCTGATTTTGTAAAAGCACAGTTAAACGGTAAAAGAAAATAAAACATTGACAAACGAAATTATGCATCTGGAACAATTGTTACAAAAATAAATTTCAAGTGATAGAAAAAGGTTTTTAATGAGTGGGTATTGGACTATACTGTGTGAAATGTATAGGGAGAGTATTTTTGAGAAACTCGAGACGCTATATTTTTGACCTTACATTGTTAAGAGTGCTCCGTGGTTACAAAACTTCTTGATTTAAAAATTAAGTAACATGATTTCTATCTAATCACTTGGAATGAAACTTCACACATCAACAAAATAGATATTTTTACAAATGATAATGCGTCCATTTTAAATTTCTTTAAAAATAGTATAACAAAGATTGACATGGTCTGTGAACTTTCCGAACAGCCCTTGTAGGAACTTATTTCTCTCAAAAATACATAAGGGCGCCGTACAGCATACAAGTGGTCCTTCCAAATTATTAATCGAGTAAGAATTCCCCAAAAAAGTGCAATTCTGGAGACGTTTCTTTTGTGCTTGGTTAATAAAATTGAAGGGAAAATGTGAATATATGATATACTAAAGCTGTATTAATTTGACAGTTTTACCTGTATTAATTTTTACTTTTTTAACCAGGCGTGACTCTAGAAAAAGTACGTGAAAGTCATTTTTGAACAATGTCAATACTAGAATAACACTATTCTGCAAAATACTAACAGTAATAGGTTTCATTCCAATTCGTATTACTAATTATAAAAGTAATTTCGATTTTTGGGAGTTTAGTTAAGTCCCGTTCATATTTTCAAACAAGACTAATTTGAAACGTTCAAATACATGTACATATGGTATTAAAATATTAAAATAAAGTAATGAATGCAACAAGAAAAAAGTAGGCCAGCTAGGTTATAGGTGCATTTCCAAGGTCAGACGACGATAAAGTAAGATGGCAAGAATGCATTGCTGCCCCTTGTTGAAAAAAAATACTATGATCAAGACTTCAAGTGCTCAAGATCCCGTGATCTTTGATAAAAGTGCATGCTTTTCCAAACGATTGTACGTATACATGATAAGGCAATGGCATAAGATTTCTTATATCCGTTATTTTAAAGAAAAAGATCTATAATGCTTAGGTGATACTTTGCAAATACGATTTTCTTTTTTTTTGAAAACAAATTCAAAATGTAAAACAAATACAAAAACTCGATGGTAGCTGCATGGCTCAGTCATAGGCTTGTAAATGTCAATATACATGTACAATATACTTCAATGTCAGAAAACAGTCGACTTCATTTTACAAAGAATATCAAACATGGTGTTTCAGCAAACATGTTCCACTTTTTTCAATACAAAAGTTAGTTAGTATTTATGAAAGCAAGGTTTGCAAAAATATAAAGAACATATCTTTCTAATTTCATCGATCAAAAGTTACAATCATTATGGTAAATCTGAATCATTTATTCTTAAGACAGGCATTTTTGGAAAAAAAATGACATGAGGCAATTCTCGATTTACTCGCTTAATAATGTATTCCGAATGGTTGTTATGTTTCTCAATCAGTAACTTCATTTTGTCTCTGAAGTCCCATACAGTTCAAATTTGGATTTAATTCGAAAAATCTGTTTCCTAGAAAGATTGTTCTCATCTGGGTTCTTCTTTTTTCAAAATCATGTTCACTAGTATTTGCCATTATTTGTTCACTAGTATTTGCTATTTTCTGTTTGCATAGTCTAGTCTACCAATATTCATAAAGAGCTCTCGTAACATCCATATGAAAGAAAACCTGACCATCTGAGTTTTTTAATTCTTTTTTTTTAAATATGACATTATAGAATATTGTTTCCATATCATGATATATTTTTGCCGTGAAACTTTCCATGAAATAGAGTTTTGTTTTGTGTTTTGTAAATATTTTTTACTGTGAATAAGAGAGACATTCAAATTCGGAATATGTTTGTTGAAACACTCTGTACTTTGCATGTAAAACAGTGAAAGTAATGTTTGTATCTCTATGAAACCCGATTCCCTTATCTCAAGTTTCTATTTGAACATTTGATTCGTTTTCTTTTATGCTTCAATTTAGAACATATTTTCTTACAAAGATATGCCTGTTCATTTCCCGGTACATTATCATAACAGATTTTGTTTTAATATTTTCTACTAAATCTCAGTCTAAATCTCAGTCTAAATACTGTACTAACTAAGTTAGTGAATAGCAAATGTTAATAATTTATTTTGAAAAAGTTTGAAGTTTGAAGTTTAAAATTGGATATCTTTGGGGGGTTTTAAAGATTTTTTTCAACAAAACCTAACACTGAGACTATCTACTTAAAACTAAACTATCTACTTAAAAATATATGCTTAGAAGTAAGGTTTTAAATCAGTACTTACATCTCCATCCACTAGTAGAATAAGTGGCAGCAATACTATAGGGGTTAAGATGACAATGATGATATTTCTTACAGTCAAAAATAATCCAAAAACTGTCTGAAGATTAGACATGGCAGCAATGTCTATTTATTATCGACAGAATAGAAACGTAAACGATATAATTCCGTGTAACTTCGAATCATTTGCAAAGATGCATGATAGATTACCCCTATCACACCGTACAGGAGATTATTTCAATCCTTGTTTAAGAAAAAACACGACCTGATAATGTAAACTAGAACAGGTAAATATATAAAACGAGACGTTTTATCAAGTGATGGTCTTGACGACACCATTTTTTTCGGCGAGTGAGAAGTGTGGGCAAATTAATGGACTTTTATCGTCAAAGGACTGCCCTGTTCATTCTGAAATATTGTTTAAATGGACGTGAAAGTAGAATATGAATGAAATTATTATCCAGGTAAACGAAATACCGCTGTAGTCATGTTTATACTAACTTCACAGAAAAATGTTTGCCATGTCTAAATTTGCGTCAATCCTATCAGTTCTTTCTTCAAAATGATTGAAAATCTTATTGCCTTTTCTATCATGGAGGAACCCAAAATTTAACTTTGTATACTTACAAAGGAATAAAAATTTTGGAACGCGTATAAAATTAATGTTTCTCATTTTCTAGGTTTGCAGAAAGCAGTTTGACTCAGTTTCCACTCAAGTTTGGTGCTGGCATCTCTTCTAAAAAAATGCATGACACAGTGTAGGTGAAAGGTAGAAGTTTGTTATACGGCTTTGAAAACAGAAATAAAAAGAGGAATTTTTAGGGAGGTTTTGTTTAAAGTTTCAGTGTCCAGGTGACTTCTGTCATCTGCACAACTCTACAAAGAAACCTGATTATTGAACTCCCCCGCAACCTAAATGATGTTCTAATCTCGCGCATAAGTTTTTTTTTTTCGATTTTCGAAAGCAGTTTCAAACAAATTTTAGACAGTAGTAACGATTCATAAAATTACGAAAGCCGGATAGGCTCATTTTTGACAAGATAAAAAAATAATTAACTCGTTATAACGAGATAGTTATCTCGTTATAACGAGTTAGTATCTCGTTATAACGAGTTAGTTATCTCGTATAACGAGTTAGTTATCTCGTTATAACGAGATAATTATCTCGTTATAACGAGATAACTAACTCGTTATAACGAGATATTAACTTGTTATAACGAGATACTAACTCGTTATAACGAGATAACTAACTCGTTATAACGAGATAATTATCTCGTTATAACGAGATAACTAACTCGTTATAACGAGATAACTAACTCGTTATAACGAGATAACTAACTCGTTATAACGAGATAACTAACTCGTTATAACGAGATAACTAACTCGTTATAACGAGATAATTATCTCGTTATAACGAGATAACTAACTCGTTATAACGAGATAATTATCTCGTTATAACGAGATAACTAACTCGTTATAAGATATTAACTTGTTATAACGAGATACTTACTCGTTATAACGAGATACTAACTCGTTATTACGAGATAATTATCTCGTTATAACGAGTTAAATATTTTTTTTGTCTTGTCAAAAATGAGCCTATCCGGTTTTCGTATTAAATAGCTTAAGGATTATTTAAAAAAAAACAAACCTGTATGAGTGGATGAAGTGCTGACAAGTAGGCCTAGATTTAAATCTAA